TATGCACAAACAATGAATCATGGAACACTTCATCTAAAACTAATGATGTAATGTATGGGGATTAACATAAGAATAAAAAAAAAAAAAGAATATGGTGATAGATGGAGGTTAAAATATGTATTTGGATTCCAGGAAGGAAAGAAAAAATGTGCAGTGTGAAAGTAGCCAAAGAGTGATAACAAGCAGGTTGACCAAGAACCAGAAGCAGAAGGAAGGCAGGTTAAGTAAGCGGGTAACTAGAAAAGATTGCTTGTAGAAAATCAAGCAAGGCCAAGAGAATTTTCTTTCTTCCCTTTGAGTTCTCAACATCTGCACTTCAAATAACAATCTTTTCCCCCCAAAATAAGCTTTCATCCTTTGATATCACCATAGCGCTATTCATATGAAGTTGTTTAAGGAGTTTTACTTTGTTCTTAAGAAATTTTGACATCTGGGATGAAACAGGTGAGGGGATAAAGAGCACACGTATCATGATGAGCACTGAGTAATGTATGGAAGTTTTGAATCACTATATTATACACCTGAAACTAAAATAACACTATGCTAATTATACTGGAATGAAAATAAAAAACTTAATAAAAATTATTAAGGGGCGCCTGGGTGGCTTAGTCGGTTAAGGGTCTGCCTGCATGATCTCAGGGTCCTGGGATTGAGCCCCCCCATCGGGCTCCCTGCTCAGCAGGGAGCCTGCTTCTCCCTCCCCCTCTGCCTCTCTCCCCCCGCCCCCCTTGTGCTTTCTGCTCTCTCTCAAATATTTTTTTAAATTATTAAAAACTATAATTTATTCCACACAAAAAAATTTTTGACATCTGCTTCAGAGAGAGATCCTAATATTTTATTGAAAGTATTAAATAAGGGGGTGCCTGGGTGGCTCAGTCGTTAAGCATCTGCCTTCGGCTTGGGTCATGATCTCAGGGTCCTAGGATCAAGCCCCGCATCGGCTCCCTGCTTGGCGGGAAGCCTGCTTCTCCCTCTCCCACTCCCCCTGCTTATGTTCCCTCTCTCACTGTATCTCTCTGTGTCAAATAAATAAATAATATCCTTAAAAAAAATAAAATAAAGAAAGTATTAAATAAGATCTTTGCAGATAAACAAAATTTAAAGAACCGATTTTCTTAAGGCAAAATGAATTAACCACCCCTCTAAATCTGATCAAAGATTTTAGGAAAAGTTCTCTTCAACTTTGGGCTAACACTTTTCATATGGTTAAACATATTCTAAACTAAACAATTCAAATTTCTTACCATTTAGCTCAAGCCTGTGTTTTATGGATAAAAGAAATAACTATAGAGAAGACTAGAGAGGAAGGAAATTAATGAAACAACAGAAGGGTCTGTAGTGCTAAGCAGAGCAGCATCCCAGCCAGCAGCATGGCTCATGGGCCCTGCCTCTCCCTTGTGGTACAGGAGGCTCACCGGATGCTTTTAACTACATTTACAACATCCCCCTTGCCTTCTGTTAGGCAAGGTTTGGCAGGGCCTCCAGAAAATAGCATGAGAGAGACAATGCTCTACTCTCCTTTTTCACTCCAAATAGTACATGACTTGACTCAAAAATGTGTTCTACCACAGAAGTTGAGGAAAGGAGGGTTCGTTCCTCTTTTAACACAGACCAGAATAACCCTGAGAGCAAGTTTCAGTTGGATCCATTAATTACTCATTTTATTATTTTTTAAAGATTTTATCTATTTATTTGACAGAGAGAGAGAGGGTGATAGAGCACGCACAAGCAGGGGGAGCAGGAGAGGGAGAAGCAGGCTCTCCGCTGAGCAAGGAGTCTGATTGGGGCTCTATCCCAGGATGCCGGGACCATGACCTGAGCTGAAGGCAGACGCTTAGCCAACTGAGCCACCCAGGTGCCCTTAATTATTCATTTTTTTTTAAAAGACATGCTTAGCCAAAAGTCAATGGATGTCAAATTATCAGAAATTCCTAAAGATCTACATTTAGGGTATGACATGATGGTTTGCTCGACTTCCTAGAGTTTCCATAAAGAGAATTTGTTCCAATACAATCCCAGGGTAGGGATTTTTCTTTATGAAATGTACCTATCACGAATATAAACATTATTGTTAAAACAGTTTCATTGTCTCTGCATGAAACTATGTTGTCTTTCCTTGTTCACACTACAGTTTTGATTTCTTTAAATAAACATATCACAACGTAATATACGTAGACAAAAACACACATATAAAAAGGTTTGTGAGGGCGCCTGGGTGGCTCAGTTGGTT